GTATAGCCAAAGTTTTGTTGTTTGTTTGATGTTCATGTTTACAAATTGACTCTTCAAACAAACATTCTTCAAAACGGGAAAAAATAAAATATTGACTAATTTTTGTGATGTTTCTTTCTCCAGCATGTAGGTTTACTTTATTATATATGTAAGTAAACTTTTATTCGATTTTAAACTCTTTTTTGTTATCTTAATAAACATAGACATGTACCCTACATATTATATTTATGTTAAAAGAAATTCGCTTTATTCAAATCTAGCTATAGTGTTTTAAATAACTATAATTATAGGATTTTAAATGTGAAAGAGTTTTATAGTTATAGGGAGTAATTTATTTTTCTTTTTTGCCAGAGGCAAAGTAGTATTTAAATAATTAGAAAAGATAACAAAAGCTCCTAACATGATTGCATATCATCACTAACGGGATTAATTATGACAGCATGATAACAAAAGATAAATTTCTCTTTTATTTTAATTCAAATTTAAAAACTTTATCTATAAATTAAAAATTATCCTTTTTCAAATTCAGTTTATTATATATATGTATTTGACTAACATAGTCAAATATAGAATAAAGTTACCATATATTGTTGACATTTATTAGCTTGCCACTTGGCTTAACCGCAATGCATATTATACATGGCAACTTTATTCCTTTAATATATATATATATATATATATATATATATATATGTTTGGATTGGGTGTTGCTGAAAATAATTGGGAATATGGTTTGGAATTTATATCTCAATTTTGAGGGGTTTTGGTGAAGATTAGACTTGGTTTTGGCTAAATTTCAGATTGAAACTCGAAGAAGAAGAAGACATGACATACATTATACTGCAGAAATTGTAGTAAAATTGTAAAAAAATTGTATTTTGTTGTTTATATATTTTTCTTTTATTTATTTAACTATTGTATGAAAGTTGAACAACATTGTATAAGAATTATATTTAAGTTGTATGATATTGTAGTTGTATATAAGTAGAAATAATATATGAAAATTGTAGATAAGTTGTATAAAATATAATTAATTGTATGAAATTTATTTTTTTTACTATGTATAAATCAGATATAAAATATACAAAAAAAATATATTATGTAAAATTTGTATTTAAGTTGTATGTTATTGTAATTGTATTTAACTGGGTAGAAATAATGTGTGAAAGTTATAGATATATTGTATAATATATAATGTTGTGAATCAAGCTCAGTCAATGAAGGCCAATGGGCTAGAAATGGTGAATGAGATTGAGTCGGTAAGGATTATTGGGCTGAGTAAAATATTAGAGAGTTTTATTTGGGATCCAGGCCCATTTAGAAAATGGTTAAAAAGGCCTAGCAGTTAGAGAGAAAGGATTATACGTATTGTGAAGAAAAATGTATGTTCCTCTCAACCCCTTTCTCTGAGTTTAAGCTTCTCATCTCCCCTTCTTTATCTCTAATCCTTAGCTACTTCTACATTCCAATGTTTCTCATTGTAATTCAGTAGTTGGTGTTGAATTGTTATCCGAATCTGTAATTGAGTTCTATTTCATATTAATATAGTAAGAAAGTTTGTCTATTTGTTACATTGGTGCTTTTATTGAGAGTCGAACTCAATCCTGAGCTACTTGAGTAGTGCATCCTTATGTGCATTCTCTGTGTTGAATAATTGTCTGCTCAAAAGTTGTAAAACTACAGTTAAGACGCCAAATAGAGAATTTATATCCAACCCTATAACAATGTAACAAATAATCCCTACTGACTCAGTTTCATTCACCACTTCTAGCCCATAGGCCCTCATTGAGTGAGCTTGATTCACATCTCCCCTTCTTTATCTCTAATCCTTAGCTACATCTGCATTCCAGTATTTCTTATTGTTATTCAGTAGTTAGTGTTGAATTGTTATCCGAATCTGTAATTGAGTTCTATTTCATATTAATATAGTAAGAAGTTTGTCTATTTGTTACATATAATTAGTTGTATGAAATTTATTTTTATTATGTATAAATTAGATACAAAATATACAAAAGACATATTGTATAAAATTTGTATAAAAATTATATTTAAGTGGTATTATATTGTAGTTGTATATAACTGTGAGGTGAGAGAGGCTTTGACAAAAGTGTCTTCGTCACATGTAATCAGGAATAAAGAATAATACCACTGGTTCCTATAGAGTTGGCAAATGTTAAAATTCCAGCTTTAGGGATTCCTGCGACTTTCTCACGCCTTTGGACGCAACAGGTGAACCAGTTGCCCATACCCACAAAATTTTAATCAAAATATAGACAGAATTAGTTCTTTGTTCTCCATATCTACTCCAGATCTAAAGTAAAAAATGCATATTAAACTTTTGTTTTATTAATTAACGTTTTAATTGTACCAATCTCAAACCAAGTTAAGAAGCTTAGTTTGTCGTAGGATCTTAATATAAATTAAATTTTGGACTAACTAATTAAGGATTTAATTTTTTTATGCTACTGCATCATTGTTTTATTGTGAATAACTACTCTAACCTGAAAGTGACGCCTATCATCATTAACTGTTTGTTTGAAAAAGAGTTAGTGTGCCAAGATAGAGTTTAAAATAATTGTTGATGGGTATCTTGTCCATTTCTTAGTGGATTGCTGCTAAAAATATTGGCAATTATTTGCATTCTGTTTGGTATTGTATGGAAGTATCTGACTTTTAATTTGTATTGTAGGAATTCAAGAAAATGAAGGAGAAAGACAGAATCCGGAGAGAAGAGAGGAGAGAAAAAAAAAGGAAAAGGGTGTAACTAAATCCCTTAATTGAAGACACTAATAATAGATTGAGAGCCTTTTAAGGTGGAATGTATATATTTTATAAACAAAACTTGTGTAGGTAGGGCAATTTACTAAACATGAACATTTAGGGTAATAAAGTTTCCAATAGTGTATAAGAATGAAAAAATCCCTTCAAAATATAAGCCTTATAATGAGTCATCACTTACTAATTCTCAATTGATCTCCTTTTTAGGTTTTCAATTTTTTTTAGTATTAATTTCCTGAGATTTTAGTAGAATTTTGCCTTATATTTTAGAACTTTGAATTAAAATACAAAAATCATCATATTGGTAAGTAAAGGTTTTGACAACAAAAACCAAGATAATGTTTTGTGATTACATGGTAACATCTCATTAAGCTCAAATATCTTTACCATTATAAATAAATATTACTAACATATGGTTCTTTCTGAAGCTAGAGGTTTTATGTCTTGTAGGACTTGATTTTAATTTAAGCTTTTTGTTAAAGTGTTCGAGAACAGATGGGAAAATTTGCTTCATAAAAAGAGGGATTTCGAGATTAACATAAAAGCGCAATCAACTTCTACATTGGAAGAATACTGAATTGGAAGCATGCATTAGGTCGAATGTGAGGAAGAGCTATATCATAACCAAGCATAACAGTTGTAAGCACGTAATTTTTGAGCTGCACAATATTTAATTTATTTTTAATATTTTATTATTTTTAGAATATGTACTTGACTTATTACACAATTTTAGTCTATTTTATTTTTAAATTTCAAAACATAAATTTGAAAAAAAAAATAGTTCCGCATTTATAGTATTTCTCATACTATACATATATTTTCATATTTTAATATAATTTAGTATAATTAGTCTTTTTGTAACGATGTTATTCTAATTTCGCTGTCTTTTCTATTTTTATTTTAATTTAATCTTTGGAAAAATAAAATATATATATATAGTTTCACTTTTAATATAGATTTGGTTTAGTTAAAATCAATTAGTATTTTATTATTCTTTAAAAAAAAGAAAAAAAAAGTAGAATGAATTTATTTTTAAGGCTAATTTTGTCTTGGTTCAATTGAAGAAGACCAAATTTGGTCCAAACCTAAGCCCAAAATTTAGCAACCCACACCCATAAGTAAAAATAGCACGGTCTAGCCAGTTTTCGGATTGGTAATTCAAAAATAGTCAGCGTTTACCAAGTCAATGAAAAATAGCCATTATTTTGCTGCAATAGAGACCGGTCCAGCATAATATACTGGAGTTCGGTGTACCTGTGTATGAACTTCCAGCATATTATGTTGGACCAGTATACTTTACTGGCTCCAGTATAATATACTGGAGACTAGAGTACCGGTGCTCCAAACTCCAGTATATTATGCTGGACCGGTATATTATACTGGAACTCCAAGTCTAATATACTGGAGCATATTATTATGCTGCAGTATTTTTTCGAATTTTGAACAATATTTTTGTTCAGATTTATCTTTACATGAAAAGTGGCTAAATTTCGATTACTTTTAAAACTGGGCTATTTTTGAACGACCACTTGTAAATTTGGCTATTTTTGAATTTCTCCCAACCCATAACACATCTGACTCGCCAGGCCACTGACCGGCCCCATTCCCTATTGATCAATCTTGGCCGTTGATTAATTTTAATCTAATGGTCTACATCAATTCCCACACCCCGTATAAAAATTCAATTATAGCTCTAAACCTAACCCAATGGTCCCCTCATTATTATTATCCCATTTTTAACGCATTTTCTCATTTTTCTTTTTCGTTCCCTATTTCTTTGATCGAATCCGAGCCCTTGGATGAATTTTGGACAAATGGGGACCATTGGATTAAGGTTTTTGATCCAAAGTATCCCATCTTTCTGATTTTCGTTGCGAGAAGGGAATTTTTCGGATTTGTTTTGGGCTCCCTCACATTTCTTGGAGAAGAAGAAGAAACTTCTAGGCTCAAGTATAAATAGAGGGCCTTTTTGGAGAGTATTTGGGGAGGAATTTTCGGAGATAGGAAAATTCTAGGGTTTTGGAGAGCAAAATTTTCCTTAGGCTCGAAGTTTCTTCACTAGGGCTTCTGGGTTTCTTTTGTTCTTAGTTTCCAGAAAATATTTTAAAAAAATTTTGTTTTTTGTCTCTTTTCTGTCGTTTTCTTCAATTTTGGAATTTGGTTCAAAAAATGGATTCTCGTTTAAAGTATGAGGTTGGACTGATTTGAGTTGCTGTTCAAAGTCAAATTCGCATTTCCTGATCTCGTTCGTTGCTGTTGCTGCTTCGTTCATCTTCTGTTGGACGTTCGAGTTTCGTTTCCATTCTGCTTGTAATAGCTTTCTAAACAACGTAAATCAAAGTTCAACTCAGGTTCAATTCTTCTCTTTTTCTTATTGTTGTGGTGCTGAATCTAAGTATGATGAAAGCTTGGGGTTAAACGATCTAAATCAGTTTAAATTTTAATTCACTTAGAGTAATTTGATTAAATCGAATCTTCTTAATTTGAATCTAATTTGGTTCCGACATGTATGACTGAAATCGGGTTTGATGTTTGGTTATATGAATCTCCTAAAGTATTTGGTGTAGCGAATCTAAGCTCGAACATGTTAAGTAAATTCTTTTGTTGAAGTTTGGTTACTGCCGGAGTTGTGAATCAGTTACGTGCTTTGTTTGAATATTTGGTGTTGCGCATCTAAACTCGAACATATTAAATAAATTCTCTTGTTGAAGTTTGGTTACTGCCCGAGTCGTGAGTCAGTTACGTGCTTTGTTTATGATTCTCGTGAGCATTTGTTTGATGATTTGAGTATATAACGATCAAGAACTTAAAGTCACCTATTTGAGCATGAAGGAAATATTCAAGGCTGCCTTTGTATGAGACTAATATCCAGTATTGTCTATTAGATGTTCAGGAAGTTGCAAGACACTTTGTTTTGATTTAAAGACATTAGTATCATTATGGGAGGTGTCAAATCTAAATCTTCTTTGGATTAGCCTAATACTTGCTTGATCAATTGCTGAGGCATCTCCTTTTGGCATACATAAGTGTTCTCCCGATTCGGCTCAAGCTTCCCTGTCCTTGAGGATCATTTTTAGACGAGACCATTTAGTTGTTAATCTGAGATTTGTGCATATTTTGGGAATCAGATTCTAATTATAGTAGAATGCAGTGTTCTTTGTCTTCTTCTAGTTGGATCACAATCACTTATAGCTAATCCTTGCCTTTGAAAGTTTGTTTCTTTCTTAGTTGAATTCTTTTTAACTCATCTAGAACATTATTGTTAATGGAACTATGAGATCGTCACGTCACTGCTCACTGAATTTGGCCATTTGCTGGAAGTAGGAGAATAGTCCATCCGATAAGTTGATTGGCATGTTAATAACTCCGAAATTAGTTCTGTTGCTTGTGTTTCCTAGTTACCATTCCAACACTTTTGAATCAATTTCTTCTTGAAAATTGTTCTTGAATGCTTCCTTGGTATGCCATAATTTCATTTTTCCAGTAGTGTCATGTGTTGCGAGCTAGGCATGAAAGTTGAATCTTTGGTTTGTTTACGTGCAGAATATGGATTTGATTTTTGAAGAATTATAATTGATGTTGGTTTACATATGTACTATGTCATTTTGCTGGTCATAAGAAAGTGAAACAATGTGATTGGATGTGCAGGGGACGGGATTAGTGGGATATTAAGGCTTTCATCGTACTTGGATCCACGGTTGCTTTTCTTATTGTTATTCTTTGCTTCATTGTCAGGACCCCGGTTCGTCCTACGTGAACCATCGTGACGACACCCTAGTCTCTACGATTAGGTAAGACTAAATTGCGGAAAAAACCAAAATTTGCAGAAGTAAAACATTTTCAAACAGTAATAAAGTAATAACAGTGTTAAATGTGTCGCTCGGCTTACACCATATTTAACTCTCATACCAAAATATAAATCCAAGATCCGGAAACCTAAGAATCACAAGCTAAGATAAGTACTACATAACTCTAACTCTGGAATGTCTAATAAGAACAGAAAAATACAAAAGGGCTAAATACTAAAGGCAGGAATTGAAAAGGACTTCTCGGTCTGCGAACGCAACAGATGTACCTCGAAGTCTCTAGAGCAGTCGCCTCCTCAAGGATGATAGGCCTGAGTAGTGGTACCTAGATCTGCACATAAAAAACATGCGCAGAAGAGGCATGAGTACACCACAGCGGTACTCAGTAAGTACCAAGCCTAACCTCGGTTGGGTAGTGACGAGGAAGGTCAGAGCCCTACTGAGATTAAATAAATATAAAGATGACCGGATAAGATAAGCAGTACAATTGAGAATCTACAGTAAGAATCTACACAGGATAATAAGAGTACAATAACGGAAACAGAGATGAAGGCAAACCACAAGGAAGTACCACTCATAACAAGGATGATAACCGGGGATCTCTTGGTATCCCGAAGATCTCTTGGTATCCTCAATATATGCTTAGGGATCTCTTGGTATCCCGAGGATCTCTTGGTATCCTCAATATATGCTAGGGATCTCTTGGTATCCCGAGGATCTCTTGGTATCCTCAATATATGTGCCAGGGATCTCTTGGTATCCCGCACCTCAGTTCAAATCATAAATACGTATAGGGGATCTCTCGGGATGCCGTCCCGTAGTCCCAAAGTAAAACACACAGCAGCAACACAAGAATACCCAATTAAGCTAAATTTCGTACCAAATAAACAGTTAATTCTAGCTTACCATACTTCACATAATGCAATTAAGGTTGTTTAAGCAAATAGGCAATTAAGTCAACTAAACATGCTTTTCTAAACTAGCAACAGGCTAAATTCACAAGTAGAATAAAATAGGAAAAAAAACTCAATTGAAATACTTAAGGAAAAAGAGGATTTTCAACAATTAGCTCAAGTACGCGCTCGTCAACTCACGTACAAGGCATTTCAATTATCAAATATATCATATCCTAAGGGGAAGGTTCCCTACACAAGGTTAGACAAGCCACTAACCTCGAATCGGCTCAAAAATCAACCCGAGACCAGGTTTTTGCCACTAGTACTCGACTCCAAATGACCCAAATCTATTCAATTCAATTTCAGAATGTAAATAACACTTCAAGTAACTGATTCTACAAATAAACTCTAAGCTAATACGCGAAATTAGGTAAAATGACCAAAATGCCCCTCGGGCCCACATCTCAGAATCGGGTAAAATTTATAGTTTCAGAATCCTCACACTCTCACGAGTCTAACCATACTAAAGTTATCCAAATCCGATGTCAAATTCCCAATCAAAACTCAATATCTTGGTCTAAGAACATTTCCCCAATTTTCATACAAATTCCGAAATTAAAGGATAAATTCACATTTAGATTAATGGGTTACAAGCAAAAATGAGTTAAGAATAGTTACCCATTCGATATCTCTAAAAATCTCTCAAAATCTCGCTCAAATCCGAGCTCCCAAGCTTAAGTTTTGATAAAAATGGCTAAAACCCTCGATTTGAAATCTTATATCTGCCCAGGCGCGTTCTTCTTCGCGAACGAGTGGCTACTATCGCAAACGAGATGCACAAAAGTCCTATTGGTCAAATTTCTCTTTCACGAATGCGAGGTCCACTCATGAATGCATAGCTTACATGGGCAGACCCTATGTGAACGCGAGGACCATGTCGCGAACGCGAAGACCAACAGGTCTTTACCTTCGTGAACACGGGACAACATCGCGAACGCGAAGCACATTTCAGCTGCTTCACCCAGATGCTCTACGCGAACCCGAGACCCTCTCAAGAATGCGATGAATGTTTTCTCTACAACACAATAGCAGAAAATTCGTTGTCTTTCCAAGTCCAAAAGTGGTCCGTTGAGCATCTGAAACACCCTGAGGCCCCCGGGACCTCAACCAAACCTGCCAACCAATCTTAAAACATTATTCAAACTTGTTTCAACCTTTGGAATGCTCAAAACAATATCAAAACACCTATTTTTCATCGGATTCAAGCCTCAAAATTCCAAAAACTCCAAAAATACGCTTTCGATCAAAAGGTCTATCAAACCTCGTCCAAATATCCTGAAATTTTGCACACACGTAACATTCAACACTACGGAGCTACTCCAACTTCCGGATTCCATTTCGACCCTCGGATCAAAATCTCACTATCAGACTGAAAACTTCAAAAATTCAACTTTCGGCATTTCAAGCCTAAATCAGCTACGGACCTCCAAAACACAATACGAACACGCTCCTAACCCCGAAATTACCCAACAGAGCTAACAGAACCATTGGATTTCCATTCCGAGACTGTCTTCACACTGTTCCGACTACGACCAACTTTCCAACACTTAAGCTCTCATTTAAGGACTAAGTGTCCCAAAACTCTCCGAAACTCAAAACCGAACATCCCGGCAAATCAAAATATAAACTTGGGAAAAGTAGTTAATAGGGGATTAGGGCGTAAATTCTTAAGACAACTGATCGGGTCGTCACATCCTCCTACACTTAAACATTCGTTCGTCCTTGAACGAGCACAAAGACATACCTGAAGTAGTGAAAAGATGAGGGTAATGGCTGCACATATCCTGCTCCGTCTCCCAGGTCGCCTCCTCGACCGACAGACCCCACCACTGAACCTTCACTGAGACAATGTTCTTTGACCTCAGCTTTCTAACCTGCTTGTCCAAAATTGCCACTGGCTCCTCAACGTAGGATAGATCCTTGTCCAACTGGACTGAACTGAAATCTAACACGTGCGACGAATCACTGTGATACCTCCGGAGCATCGAAACATGAAATACCGGATGAACTCCTACCAAGCTGGGAGATAAGGCAAGCTCATAAGCAACCTCCCAACACGCCTCAATATCTCAATAGGGCCAATAAACCTCGGACTCAACTTCCCTTTCTTCCCAAATCTCATAACGCCCTTCATAGGCAAAACCCGAAGCAGAACCTACTCACCAACCATAAAGGAAACATCACGAACCTTCCGGTCTGTGTAACTCTTCTGTCAGGACTGGGTTGTACGGATTCTATCGTGAATCACCTTAACCTTCTCCAAGGCATCCTAAACCAAGTCTATGCCCAATAGCCTAGCCTCACCCGGCTCAAACCAACCCACCGGAGATCTACACCGCCTACCATATAAAGCCTCGTACGGTGCCATATGAATGCTGGACTGATAACTGTTGTTGTAAGCAAAATCTGCCAATGGCAAGAACTCTCCCAAGACCATCCAAACTCAATCACACACGCATGGAGCATATCCTCAAGAATCTGAATAGTGCACTCGAACTGTCCGTCCGTCTCAGGGTGAAATGCTGTACTCAACTCCACCCGAGTACCCAACTCATGCTG